AAATCAAGAATTCATAATGATCAGGTATTATTTAATATGGAGAAATTATTCTGAGAGTATAGATTTAAGTGGGAGATATTTATAACCACTCAAAACCAAAAGAGCAAGAAAATGAGGTGACAAAATGTACAACACTTTAGTAACGGAAGAAATGTAAGTAGCCCCATATACTGGTCTTAATATTTTCACGTGAAAATTGAGCTTTACCCTCCTGCAAATTCCCAAGTACCTAAGTAAAAACACACTTAACAAATTGTTTAATCTACTTAATACCAAACAATTGCTCAGTCTGTATTTTCCTCTACTGAAATGACTTAAGTCTTCATAATTGGGTAAAAACTGAATAAAACAAATGAGAGCCACTGCCGCGAATAGCAGGCACATGTTAATTGGTAGTGCGGAGACAAAGCAGAGCAGGCAATGTTTAGGTTTTTCCTGAAGGAATACTATGTGCCCTTTTCTTCTCTTGAACTTAATAGACTTTTAGCTAATGTGCTTTTCCTCCTAATGTTTTCCACATGTTTATTATTCTCTTTAAAAAGACCAAATTATTTACCTAATTTTTACATCAAAAGCATTCATTTTTTTAATGTTGATTCTTATTAAACCATGTTTAAATGTCACCAAACAGCAAATCTTTCTTCATGTAATTTACTCCTGAGGTTCTCAAGGGAAAATTTTAAAAATTCCCGTCGCTAGCCAGATAAGCTTTTCTTTTACTCAGTCCTGTACTTGTTCGAATGGCTGTAATGATGCCTGTTTTCCTGCGTTGTGTAAAATTGAAATGAGAAACAGGATTTCTAGAATGATGCCTTTGTAACGTGCAGTGGTTACACTTGGTTATATTTTCGAGTGTGTATTACCAAGGCTCCTGGGTCACAGAAGTCTGAGAGAAAGATGACAAGTACCTTTCTATTTTTTATTTTTTCCTCAAGACGCTAAATCGCTTCTATCAGTGATGGAAAAACTCGTTAAACTTTTAGTTGTTTAATTGTTTGCTTTTGTTTCTCTCTAACATCTTTTTTCTTAATATAAATTCCTCTCTGATTTTGGCAACAAGTGATCAGTTTTTGTCTTCAGGGATAATATTATTTTCATCTATTCTTACACAATCACAAGTGGTTAGTGGGTAGCTGGAAAAAGCTGGTTCTGAGCTAGAAGACATTTTAAACTGATGTTTACATAATTGACACTTAAAGATAACACGTGTGAAATTCTATACTAATGAACTAAAAATCAAAGTAGCTCATTTCAGTGTGACAGATTACCATGAACTTGAAGCTCACCAACAACGTAAATGTGTCTATAACCACCTTGCCCCCTGGAGCTTTGCCTACATGCTGATCAAATGGACAAACATTAGACAATTGATCAGTAGGATTTTCACTTTGTCGAAAGAAAAAACACTGGATTCAGCAGAATGTTTTTTTGTTTCTATGTTTGTTTGTTGTCTTTTGCCTTTAGGGCATGAGTACGCAAAGGAAAGAGACCGAGAGAGGGGAAGCAAGAAGTCACCCT